GTCGTGTAAATGCAGCGGCGACGGCCAATATCTTTATGAATTACACGTCCGTGGACAGGTCCAGGATGGTTTCGCATATCATTCCTGTTTCTGGGGTAAGTTGATATAATAAGAATCGATTAAAGAATTTTTGTGAATTTAAATGAAAATTATTAGTCAAAATCAAATAATAGAATAAAGCAAAATACTAACTAATATCTTCGTAATTTCATTTGAAATGATAATCAACAACTGTATGGATCATGTCTACTGTTTACGGTCTTATTATTCTATCTACATTTGTAAGACTTGTTTCGGCAATCTTTCTTCTAGTTATCTGTTTTTTCATGTGATTTTTCCTTGTTTCGCGGAACACACATGACGTGAGAGAGCGATCGACTTTAATATCATCATATACGCTTATCTTTCAACAGGGGAACGAAAAGAAAAAGAGTCAGGAAGGTCGTGACCTCGAAAATTTCACATCTGACTCGCGAGCCACGTCTTCGTTAAGATTTATTCTGCGACAATCTTGCAATTCCATCAAAAATTTATCTTATCGAGTTCTGTTGATAGATATTGTCGCGGTTTATTTTACATCTTTTACATCTAACTTAATAAACAACTCAATCTTTGTAGGTAGGAATAACATATGTAGAAAGTACAGTTAAATAAAATCTCTCTCTGAAATAGTTTCCGAGTAATTAAACGAATGTATACGGGATATGTACTATTATATATTATTATTATTTTATTATATATATATTCTATGATACAAATATGATATAATATTCTAGAAAATTGTAAAAATCTTTTCTATTGATCCCATTCGTCGAATGTGTAAACTCGAAATTCGATTAAATTGTGATTTTCGAAATTTCGTATTATTTTTCGTGGACAAAAGTTTTGTTTCCAGTTAATACTGGTACATTGCATTCTCTAAATAATTGATTCAATTATTTCAATTTTTAATTCTTTCTCCTTTTCTCTGTCTCTCATATTACAAAAATTCATGGAATATGTTCTTACTCTGTTACAGATTTCGATTCAAGAAATTTTCATATTCAACGATTGCCACGAACGATTCTTCCCGAAGATGCGAGATCACAATATCATTCTTGCGATATATTTTGCCATTACATTGTAGACTCCCTTTATTGACTTATACGATATTGCGTGAAATTATGCTGCCGGTGTGAAGCGAGTGTTTTTGTCTACTTTAAACAGTTTTAAGAGAGCATGAAACACAGAAACAATTGCTCGATTTTGAAATGTCAGTGAAATAAAATTCCGAACATTAAGATTCTGACGATATCTCGGAAGGATTATTGAATCTGATCCGTGTCGAAGCCGTCGGCGATTGTGGCAATTGTGGAGACCTTACCTGGTGATTGGGTAGAGTTGCAGCAGCAGCGATAACTTGCGTTTTCTTTTTAAATAATTAAAAATAAATGGCTCGTATATTTCCTGAGTCGATTTATCTTGACGAAAGTAGTGTATGAAAAATAACGAACGATAGCGATACTTTTTATCATCATTCCGATAATTTAAATGCGCTGTTCGTCATGTCGTTGATCCATGTCGATTTCTCGTGATTCTCCAAGACATTTTTTTGAGTGTCGTAGCGTGTGTGTGTGTATATATATATATATCGATAATTTAGTTCGTCATGTCGTTGATCCATGTCGATTTCTCGTGATTCTCCAAGACATTTTTTTGAGTGTCGTAGCGTGTGTGTGTGTGTGTGTGTA